AATACTATTCTAAACTTCCCTGCTTACAAATGTTGGCGAAACAGGGTTTAGTAAGAGAGAGGTGCTGAAGGAAATCAGTATTAGCAAGGAAAACAGTATTGAGGTAAATTGATGGGACTGAGGGCTGATAAATCCCCAGGGCCTGATAAACTATATCCCAAATTACTTCGGGAAATGGTCTTAGAAACAGTGAAAAATTAATGGCCATTTTCCAGGATTCTTTAGACTCTGGAACAGTTTCTACAGATTCGAGGGTCACTAATATGACCCCTCCATTTATGAAGAGAGGCAGAAAGAAATCCAGAAATTATAGACCAGTCAGTCTGACGTTGCTAGTGAGGAAAATGCTAGAATCCATTATAAAAGATTTAATAGCTGAGCAGTTGGGAAAACAGTGGTAGAATTTCATAAAGTTACAAAAGGGAAATCATAGATAGTAGGAACTGCAGATGCTGGAGAATCCGAGACAACAAGGTGCAGGGCTGGATGAACACAGCAGGCCAAGCAGCATCATAGGAGCAGAGAGGCTTGACAATCATGCTTGACAAATCGACTGGAATTCTTTAAATTGAGTTTATTGATGAAGGGGAGCCAGTGAATGTGGCTTATTTGGGACTTTGTTAAAAGCCTTCTGAAAGTCCACAGAAGTGATCAGCGTGTAAAATTAAGGCACATGGAATTTGGGGTAGTGTATTGTTATGGAGGGAGCAGATCGAAGGCTTACCAGATGTTTACCGGGATGCAGGACTGATGTATGGGGAAAGGTTGAATCAGTTAGGATTATATTCACAGGGGGCAAGTCTCATTGAATCCCCAAATATTCTAACAGGACTAGTTAAGGCAGATGCAGGATGTTCCTGATGGCAGGGAATCCGGAACCAGGGGTCATGGTCTGAAGATAAGGGATAAGCCATTTAGGACAGAGATGAGGAGAAATTATTTTCACCAGAATGTACTGAACCTGAAAGCAATCAAAGCCAAAATATTGCATCATTTCAAGGAGTTGGACATAGCACTTGGAGCTAAGGGGAAGAAAAAAGGATATGGGAGAAAAGCAGTAACAGGCTATTGAATTGAATGATCAGCCATGGTCATAATGAATGGTACAGCATTCTGAAAAGGCCGAATGGCTTATTACACTCCTATTTTCTATGTTTCTGTGGTTAACTATGCTTGGTTTAACCCCTTCTTAAATTTCATCCTCCTCAGTGGGATATATCTTTGGTGTCATACATGAATTTCTTAAACATGCTTCAACAGGGTCTTTTCTGTTAAAGTTCTTTCCCAATCCACTTCACACAATTCAAATCCCATCCCTATCTAAGTCCCTTGTTTAAATTTAGCACCGTTGTTTCTGACTGAAGTTCTCACTCTTAAACTGAACGCTAAATTCTACCATGTTACGGTCACTGTTACTTAGGGAATCTTTTACTCTGAAATCATTTATTAAACCTGCTTCATTACAAGTTATCGTATCTAGAATAGTCTCATCCCTGGTAGAATCCACAACATACTGTTCCAGGAAACTTATCCCAAATATGCTATGAATTTTTCCTCAAGGCTAACTTTGCCAATTTTATTTTCCTAATCTATACAAAGATTTGTGGTATCTTCATGAAAAAGCATATTTTATTTTTCTCTTATTCATTTGTGGGATGTGGGCGTCACTGGCTGGCCAGCATTTCTTGCCCATCTGTAGCTGCCCATGAGAAGGTTGTGGTGAGCTGTCTTCTTGAACTGCTGCAGTCCAGCTGCTGTTTTGGGTGGACACACAATGCCATTATGGAGGGAATTCCAGGATTTTGAACCAGCAACAATGAAGGAACGGGGATATATTTCCAAGTCTGGATGGTGAATGGCTTAGAGGGGAATTTGGAGGTGGTGGTGTTCCCATATGTCTGCTGCCCTTGTCCTTCGACATGGAAGTGGTCATGGGTTCGGAAGGTGCTGTCTGAGGATCTTTGGTGAATTTCAGAAGTGCATCTTGTAGACTGTACACACTGCTGCTACTGAGCAGCGGAGGGAGTAGATGCTTGTGGATGTAGTGCCAATTAAGCGGACTATTTTGTCCTGGATGGTGTCAAGCTTCTTGAGTGTTGTTGGGGCTGCATCCATCCAGGCAAGTGAGGAGTATTCCATCACACTCCTGACTTGTGCTTTGTAGATGGTGGACAAGTTTTGAGGAGTCAAGAGGTGAGTACACTTCATAGCATTCCTAGCTTCTGACCTGCTCTTTTAGCCACTGTGTTTATGTGGTGAGTCTGGTTGAGTTTCTGGTCAATGATAACCCGCAGGATGTTGATAGTGGGGGATTCAGTGATGGTAACACCATTGAATGTCAAGGGACGGTGGATAGATTGTCTCTTATTGGTGATGGTCATAGCCTGGCATTTGCGTGGCTTGAATGTCACTTGCCACTTGTGAGCCCAAACCTGGATATTGTCCAGATCTTGTTGCATTTGAACACCAACTGCTTCAGTATCTGAGGAGTCACGAATGGAGCTGAACATTGTGTAATCTTCGGCGAACATCCCCACTTCTGACCCTATGATGGAGGGAAGGTTATTGGTGAAGCAGCTAAAGATTGTTGGGCCGAGGACACTACCCTGAGGAACTTCTGCAGAGATGTTCTGGAGCTGAAATGATTGACCTCCAACAACCACAACCATCTTTCTATGTGTCAGGTATGGCTCCAACCACCGGAGAGTTTGCCCCCTGATACCCATCGATTTCAGTTTTGCCAGGGGTTCCTTGATGCCACACCTGTACAAATGCAGCCTTGATGTCAAGGGCTGTCACTCTCACCTCACCTCTGGTATTCTGCTCTTTTGCCCATGTTTGAATCAAGGTGGTAATGAGGTCAGGAGCTGACTGGCCCTGGTGGAATCCAAACTGGGAGTCACTGAGCAGGTGTTATTTGATAGTACTGTTGATGACATCTTCCATCACTTTGCTGATGATTGAGAGTAGACTGATGGGGCGGTAATTGGTGGGGTTGGATTTGTCCTGCATTTTGTGTACAGGACATTCTTGGGCAATTTTCCACATTGCCAAGTAGATGCCGGTGTTGCACCTGTACTGGAACAGTTGGCTAGGGGAGCACTACATTCAGTTCTATTGACGGTATGTTGTCAGGGCCCATAGTCTTTGCAGTATCCAGTGTCTCCAACCATTTCTTGATATCACATGGAGCGAATTGAATTGTCTGAAGACTGGTATCTGTAATGCTGGGGACCAATGGAGGATGCCGAGATGGATCATCCACTTGGCACTTCTGGCTGAAGGTTGCTGCAAATGCTTCAGCCTTATCTTCTGCACTGATGTGCTGGGCTCTTCTATCATTGATGATCGAGGTATTTGTGGACACCCCTCCTCCAGTGAGTTGTTTAATTGTCCACCACCATTCACGACTGGATGTGGCAGGACTGCAGAGCTTAGATCCAATCTGTTGGTTGTGGGATCGCTTAGCTCTGTCTATCATTTGCTGCTTTTGCTGCTTGGTGTGCAAGTAGTCCTGTTTGGTGGCTTCACCAGGTTGACAGCTCATCTTCAGGTATGCCTGGTGCTGCTCCTGACATGCCCTCCTGCACTCTCCACTCAACAGGATTGACCCCCTGACTTGATGGTGATGGTTGAGTGGAGGATATGCTGGGCCATGAGGTTACAGATTGTGCTGGAGTACAATTCTGCTGCTGTTGATGGCCCACAGTGTCTCATGAATGCCCAGTCTTGAGTTGCTAGATCTATGTGAAGTCTGTTCCATTTAGTACGGTGATACTGCCACACAACACGATAGAGGTTATTCTCAATGTGAAGGCGGGACTTTGACTCCACAAAGATTGTGCGATGGTCACTCTTACCGATCCTGTCATCAACAGGTGCAACTGCAGCTGGCAGATTGGTAAGGAAGAGGTTAAGTATGCTTTTCCCTCTTGTTGGTTCCTTCACCACCTGCCGCAGACCCAGGCTAGCATCATGTCCTTTTGGACTTGACCAATTCGATCTGTAGTACTGCAGCTGAGCCACTCTTGGTGGTGGACATTGAAACCCCCCCACCCAGAGTACATTTTGTGCCCTTGCCATTCTCAGTGCTTTGTCCAAGTGTTGTTCAACATGGAGGAGCACTGATTCATCAGCTGAAGGAGGACAGTTTGTGGTCATCAGCAGGAGGTTTCCTTGCCCATGTTTAACTTGAAGCCATGAGACTTCATGGGATCCAGAATCAATGTTGAGGGTTCCCAGAGCAACTCCCACTGTGCCACCGCCTCTGCTGGGTCTGTCCTGCCAGTGGGACAGGACATATCCAGGGATGGTGATGTCTGGAACATTGTAAGATATGATTCTGTGAGTATGACTACATCAGGCTGTTGCTTGACTAATCTGTGAGACAGCTCTCCCAATTTTGGCACTAATCCCCGGATGTTAGTGAGGAGGACTTGGAAGGGTCAACAGGGCTGTTTCTGCTGTTGTCTTTTCTGGTGCCTAGGTCGATGCCAGGTGATCCGTCTGGTTTCATTTCTTTGAGACTTTGTAGAGATTGGTACATTCAGTTGGTACTTAATGGCTTGCTAGAGGGCGTTTCAGAGGGCAGTGAGAGTTAACTACATTGCTGTGGGTCTGGAGTCACATGTAGGCTAGACCAGGTGAGGGTGGCAGATTTCCTTCCCTGAAGGACATTAGTGAACCAAATGGGTTTTTCTGATAATTGGCAATGATTTCATGGTGATCAGTAATTCTTAAGTCCAGACCTTTTTTTTATTGAATTCAAATTCCACCATCTGCCGTCGTGGGAATTGAACCTGGGTCCTCAGAACATTAGCTACGTTTCTGGATTAATAGTCTAGCGATAATACCACTAGGCCTACCTAGACAACAAATATGGCACAGTACCATTGGTGGTGGGAGGGAGCTGGGGAAGAGAAGAGGTAGAGAGGGGAAGAAGATATTTTTTGCAAACTGGATCAAAAATAGCATGTGAAGAAACAAATGTTGTTACACACCTTCCGGACCACGACTTGTTCGCTGGGATCTATGATCAATGCTTCACGTTCCTCATCAGATTCCAGTTGTATGGTGTACTCTCTAGGTGTTTGTCTGACAGCAGTAATGTCAAGACTGGAAAGAAAAGAATGTAAAGTAAAAACAGCTCAATACAATATCGACAAAACTTCCAATGCTCCTCAAGACTTAGGAAAGAAAAAGCTTCTGAGTTTCTAAATTAGGTTCAAATGCCTAAGGAACTAGGTTTCTATAGACAGTGGATTTTTTTGAGGGGTTGAAATAGCATGGGAAGGGAGAAAATGCTCGCTAACCAGACAATACAAATGTTTAATAACTGGTTAAAAAAGTCAAGAAAGGAATGAGGAGAAATATATTCAGTAAGTTATAACTGTGATTGCATGGCCTGAAAGGGTAGTGGAGTAGAAGCAAGAGTTGGAATTCTACTTAAAAGAGGAAGAATTTGTTGGACTATGGCAAGTATAGCAGGAATGCAGGACTCATTGGAAACCCTCTTTAAATCATTCCCACAGGCTTGATGAAAGAATGAAGTGTTTCTATGCAATTTGATCGTATAATTCTGTCAACTCACATGTCTTTTTCCACCGGACAAACACTCAAATACTGAAATGTATAATTCTGGTTAGTTTCATGCAGTAATGACTGTACATATAGTTCATGCACTTATACAATGAATAACAAAGACAAGGCAACAATGTGATGTTCCAGGAAAATTCAAAAAGATGTTCGGTTTTAACACTGACCCCTTTAGCATTTCTTCAGCTGCTATCAATGCTTCTTCTGCAGCCCTTCTCCTTAGTTCTTCATGTGCTAACATTTCTGTTAACTGGGACAGCTCCTGGTGAGCTGAATCATTACGTTGATCCGATTCTGCAAGCCTAGATCACATGTACAAAAAAGAGTCTGACCAATGAGCGACTGACTAAAGACCTCTATTAAACAGAAACTGAAGGGTCATTCTAAGCTTGAAATGTTAACTGTTTCTCTCTCCATAGATGCTTCTAGACCTTGAGTTTATCTAGCGTTTTGTGTTTGCTTAAGATTTCCAGCATCCACAATATTTTGCTGTTATTGTATGTACGTGCATGGTGCCTTTAAAACCATTGTAAAGTCCTGAAGTACTTCACAGCCAATGGTGCATTTTTGAACCAAGAAACCTGCAAAGAACAAGATCCTGCAGACAGCCAGACAGAAGAAGGGGACCAGCTAGGTACTGAGGAATTCCTCAAGTGTTTCTTGCTTTCACACTGATTTTGGTCTTGGAAAACAGTGTGATTCATGAATCCACTCTGGAGGCCAGTCAGAGCCATGGCAGCAATGTACATGGTCTACCTGACCAGGTCGGTGGAGGGGAAGAATAGGGAGAATATGAAGAAGACAGAAAGGACAAGGGGGTGAAGATTCGTTAGTGAGGGGAGTAGACAGGCACTTCTAAGGCCATTGACATCTCTCCACTGGGTGCTGGACTCAACGATGTCATGGAACAGCTGGAGGGCATTCTGAAGAGGAAGGGTGAACAGCCATGAGTCATGGTCCATGTTGGGACCAATGACACAGGAAGGAAGCGAAGTGAGGTCCTGTAAGCAGACTTTAGGGAGTTAGGTGGGAAATTGAAAAGTAGGACTTCCAAGGTAGTAATCTCTGGATTACTCCCGGTACAGTAGTGAGTATAGAGTCACATAGCATGGAAACAGACTCCTTGGTCCACTTATCCATGCTGACCATGTTTTCCAAACTAAACTAGTCACACTTACCTGCATTTGGTCCATATCCTTCTAAATCTTTCCTATCCATGTACCTGTCCAAATGTCTTTTAAATGCTGTAACTGCACCAGCCTCCACCACTTCCTCTGGCAGCTCATTCCATACTCGCACCACCCTCTGTATGGAACATTTGCCCCTTAGGTCCCTTTTAAATCTTTTCCCTTTTACCTTAAACATATGCCCTTTAGGTTTGAACTCCTACCCTTGGAAAGAGACCTCAGCTATTCATCTTATCTAAGCCCCTCGTGATTTTATGAACTTCTGAAAGGTCACACTTCAGCATCTGACGCTCCAAGGAAAAAAGTCTCAGTCTATCCAGCCTCTCCTTATAATTCAAACCCTCCAGACCTGGCAACATCCTTGTAAATTTTTTCTGCATCCTTTCCAGTTTAACAACATCCTTTCTATAGTAGGACAACCAGAATTGTATGCAGTATTCCAAAAGTGGCCTCACCAATGTACTGTACAGTTACAACATGATATCCCAATTCCTATACTGAATGCTCTGATCAATGAAAGCAAGTGTGCCAAACGTCTCCTTCACCACCCTGTCTACATGCGACACAAATGTCAAGGAACTATGAACCTGCACCCCGAGGTCCCTCTGTTCAGCAACACTCCTCAGGGCCCTACCAAAATGCAACACCTCCCATTTATCTAAATTAAATTCCATCAGCCCACTTCTGGACCCACTGGATCATCTGATCAAGATCTCTTTGTAATCTTTGGTAACCTTCTTCACTATCCACTATACCACCTATTTTGGTCTCATCCGCAAATTTACTAACCATACTTACTATATTCTCATCCAAATCATTGATATAAATGCCAAACAACAATGGACCCAGCACCGATCCTGGAGGCACACCACTGTCACAGATCTCCAGTTTGAACAACAACCCTCTACCACCGTCCTCTGTCTTCTACCACCACGCCAATTTTGTATCCAATAGGAACAGAAGAATAGAGCAGATGAATGCAGGTTGGAAAAATGGTGCAGGATGGAGGGCTTTAGATTCCTGAGGCATTGGGATCATTTCTGGGGGAGATAGGATCTACGGAAGTTGAATGGGTTACATCTGAACAGGATCGGGTCTTTGAGAGAAAGTTCGTCAAAGCTGTTGGGTTGGATTTAAACTAGATTGGCAGCGAATGCAGTTCTGACAAATAGCTCAGAGGGAAAGAGGCCGTGATAGAATTAGCAGTTAAAACACTAGTAAATTGGTTTCATTTCAGAGAAACTTAAATTGGTCACTCAACCTGGTCTTGGTCTGCTTGTTATGAGCTATGGCTGCTCTCAGTTTTGATCTGAATTGCTTACAGATTCTTCATAGGATGCTTCCCTGAAAAGGCACCGTCAGAAGGAAAGCAAGACATAGACTCATGGGCTATAATTTTCAACTTTTAAATTGTCAAATGAAAAACCAAACAAAGCAGGTTTACAATATCTAAAACAGCTCTGTCAGTATCTGCTCTTATATAATATTATTTTTGGTTCTCAAAATGTTTCTGTACTTACACCCGCCCCCTTTTAAGCAATTTTCTGACTAAGAATATTATGAGTGTACAAACAATGGTAGATGGGAAAAGGTCTGCTGGTTCATCCAGTCTGTCCAACACAATTGTGATACCCTGTGTGTCATCAAATGCACACTTGCTTCCCCACCCATGTGATCTGCTGGAAGAGGTAAAAAAAAATCTCAGGTCAATTTGGTGAATAAAAGGGAAATTGCATATCACTCCCTGACTGCCTGGGGCCTTTGGTACACTCCCTATGTCCAGGAGATCACACTGACCCTTTTATTGTGATGCTGTACTGACCTATTGTGCAGGCATAAAGACTGAAAGAACTGTGGATGCTGTAAATCAGGAACAAAATCCCAAGTTGCTGGAAAAGCTCAGCAGGTCTGGCAGCATCTGTGAAGAAAAAATTAGAGTTAACGTTTCAGGTCCGGTGACCCTTCCTGAGTTCTGAGTAAGGGTCACCGGACCCGAAAGGTTAATTCTGATTTTTTCTTCACAGGTGCTGCCATTGCGCAAGCATATTGTCCCCAACCAGAATCAGATCCAGTTCTCACTCAAAGGAATTCAGCAAACTGGCATCCAATTAATGAGTTACCAGCCTGGTCTATTATGCCACAGATCCACTATTCTCTGGGAATGGGATTGAGGGTGATTTAGCGGTTTGGATCAGAAATTGGCTAGCTGTAAGAAGACAGAGGGTGGTGGTTGATGGGAAATGTTCATCCTGGAGTTCATTTACTAGTGGTGTACCTCAAGGATCTGTTTTGGGGCCACTGCTGTTTGTCATTTTTATAAATGACCTGGATGAGGGCGTAGAAGGATGGGTTAGTAAATTTGCAGATGACACCAAAGTCGGTGGAGTTGTGGATAGTGCGGAAGGATGTTGCAGGTTACAGAGGGACATAGATAAGCTGCAGAGCTGGGCTGAGAGGTGGCAAATAGAGTTTAATGCGGAAAAGTGTGAGGTGATTCACTTTGGAAGGAGTAACAGGAATACAGAGTACTGGGCTAATGGTAAGATTCTTGGTAGTGTGGATGAGCAGAGAGATCTCGGTGTCCATGTGCATAGATCACTGAAAGTTGCCACCCAGGTTGATAGCATTGTTAAGAAGGCGTACGGTATGTTAGGTTTTATTGGTAGAGGGATTGAGTTTCGGAGCCATGAGGTCATGTTGCAGCTGTACAAAACTCTGGTGCGACCGCACTTGGAGTATTGCGTACAGTTCTGGTCACCGCATTATAGGAAGGATGTGGAAGCATTGGAAAGGGTGCAGAGGAGATTTACCAGGATGTTGCCTGGTATGGAGGGAAGGTCTTATGAGGAACGGCTGAGGGACTTGAGGCTGTTTTCGTTAGAGAGAAGAAGATTAAGAGGTGACTTGATAGAGACATGCAAGATGATCAGAGGATTAGATAGGGTGGACAGTGGGAGCCTTTTTCCTCGGATGGTCATGGCTAGCACGAGGGGACATAGCTTTAAATTGAGCGGTGATAGATATAGGACAGATGTCAGAGGTAGGTTCTTTACTCAGAGAGTAGTAAGGGCATGGAATGCCCTGCCTGCAAAAGTAGTAGACTCGTCAACTTTAAGGGCATTTAAATGGTCATTGGATAAACATATGGATGATAATGGAATAGTTTAGGTTAGATGGGCTTCAGATTAGTTTCACAGGTCGGCGCAACATCGAGGGCCGGAGGGCCTATACTGCGCTGTAATGTTCTATGTTCTATGACCATCTAACCTAGATTTGACCATACACAACTTTAAATTTGATGCTTGGATTGTAGTTCATTTGTCCATTCTTTCCTTTTTAACTAAAGTTTGCTGTTTTCCAAAGTCCTGGTCAAGTCAGCCTTCGATCTTGTGCAATGATAATTTGTGCACTGGTGGCCAATTCTATGCTAAATATGGCCCCAACGGGCTCAGGAGCTCCACTCTGGCATAACAGTCTCTGTTGTATATGCTGGCGGCAATGTGCAGTGAAAGTGGAGTGTCATCTCTCGATTGTAAGCCTAGGCCAATCTTATGAAGCCCCTAGACTGCCTAAAAGTCAACTTCCATTCTCAAATCCCAGGTTTATTCGAAAGGAGTCTGTGTGAACAACATCTTAATTTAAATCTAGTAATGCTGCATCTGAAACTAGAGAGTCTGGTCGATTAAGGCATCACTAAATTCCTTACTATTTCTTGTCATACCCTTCAATATGAGTCTTGTTGGTATAATTTTGCTGTTTGGACCAATGTGTCGAAAGTCCTTTCTCCTTTCATTTAATAGCCAATAGTAATCACAGAATTCCAGGCCTTTTTACCACCTTTTCACTTTAGCCACCACAGAGTTATCTATTTTATTTGCTGTAAAGGTGGTGATTAACTGACACTCTGTTTTGTGAACTTCATAAACAATAATTTATTTCTCTACCAAACTCAGAATTATTTGAAACATATACACACACATTTTCAAACGATGGAATTTCTCTTTAGGTTGTGAATAGATTAAATCATTGTGGTATTTATTGCTGTAAAACTGCAAAACAAACAGCACTCACCTTCTCCGTAGTTCACTCAGCTCAAAGTTGTCAATTTCAACTATAACACTAGCACGTTCTTGTGGAGCCCCTGGTGGAACTTCTTCATTTGCTTCATTCTACAAATACAATTGAAAAAGGATGAGAATCCAATTTTCCAACACTTGTTATGCCTATAAATTCAAGGAAAACTGAGGTCAATGGGCAAACCAAACACTGTCTAGCTTTAAACTAACTTGGCACAGGTGTCAGAACTATAAAAGAATAGTTCAGGAGCAGAATAGCAGGGCTTGCAAAATACTCAGAGATATGGCTGGCATGCGAACAGCAAATAGGCAATTAATACATAATGCCATAGTACGGGAGAAAGAAAGTTCAAAGCAGAATTAACGTGCATGTACGCATATGCATGGAATACAGTAAATAATCACATATAATAACAAATAATCACATCACCAAACCCTCTATCTCCTTTCTGTACTTTAACTTGTCGTTGTTAAATATCCGTCATACAATGGTGGTGTCGTCAGTTGTACAGTTGTAGGTGTACAGGGAGTACAATAGGGGACTGAGGACGCATCCTTGGCGGGGGGGGGGGGGGGGGGGGGGGGGGGGGGGTGGTGGGGGGTTTTTGGGGGGGGGGGGCGGTTACCTTTCCTCACTGATTGCGGCTTATGGGTCAGAAAGCTAAGGATCCAGTTGCAGAGGGCGGAGCCAAGACCAGGGTCACGCGGTTTTGAGACAACAAGGTGCAGAGCTGGATGAACACAGCAGGCTAAGCAGCATCATAGGAGCAGAAAGGCTGACGTTTCTGGCCTAGACCCTTCATCAGAACACGCGGTTTTGAGATCAGTCTGGGCGGGATAATGGTGTTGAAGGCGGAGGTGTAGTCAATGAGCAGGAGTCCCACATAGGTGTCTTTGTTGTCCAGATGTTCCAGGGATGAGTGCAAGGCTAGGGATATGACATCCTCTGTGGACCTGTTGTGTCGGTAGGGGATCAAGGTAGGTTGGGAGACTGGAGTTGATGTGAACCACCACCAGCCCCTCAAAGGAATTCATGATTACTGAAGTCAGAGCCTTTGGGCGGTAGTCATTAAGGCACACTGCATCTGTTTTCTTGGGTACGGGGATATATGATGGTATTCTCGAAGCAGGTGGGGACTTTGGCTTATTAGAAGGACAGGTTGACGATGTTGGTGAATACCTCCGCCAGTTGATCGCACAGGATCTGAGTGATCGGCTGGGGACACCGTCCGGGCCCATTGCTTTCCATGGGTTGACTCTCAGGAAGACTGAACTGAATTCTGAAGCGGTGACAGAGGGAAGAGGTGTGTCGGGGGATGTTGGGGCAGGCATTGCCACACTGTGGTATTCAGCTCAAACCGAGCATAGAAAGCATGGAGTGTGTTAGGGAGGGATGTGTCATAGTCTGCTATCTTACACTGTTTCATTTTGTATCCCGTAATTTCGTTTAGTCCTTGATATAGACAGCAGGTATCTGTTTGGTAGGTTTGGGTCCGTAACTTGGTCCATTACTGCTTCTTGGCCTCCCTGATGGCTTTGCGGAGGCCATATCTGGATTTTCTGTCTTGGTCCGGGTCACCTGACTTGAATGCTGCAAGTCTGGTCTTCAGCAGGGAGTGGATTTCCTGGTTCATCCAAGGTTTATGGTTGGAGAACACTCGGATTAATTTCTTTGGTACACTGTCCTCCATGTGTTTGCTAGTGAAGTCTGTGATGGTGGTGGCATACTTGTCTAGGATTTCTCCTGAATATTTGAATGCGGTCCAGTCCACCGAGTCCAAACATTCCCAGAGACTGTCTTCTGCTGCCTCAGACCAGCACTGTACTTCGTTTCGTGAAGGATTCTCCCATTTCAGCTTCTGCTTGTAAGCTGGGAGGAGGAACACAGCGCTGTGGTCATATTTTCCAAAGTGTGGGTGGCGGATTGAGTGATAGGCATCATTGATGGTTGTGTAGCAGTGGTCCAGAGTGTTCGGTCCTCTGGTGGGATAGGTGAAATCCATACAGGTCATGTCCATTGCCCTGCCCTCATCAATCCTTATGATAGTAAAATGTAGGGTATGCAGGGTAGTTTGATCTTAGAGTAGGATAATAGGTTGGCACAACATCGTGGGCCGGAAGGCCTGTACTGTTGCTGTACTGTTCTATGTTCTAATCCGCTTTGTTACTTCTTCAAAGAACTCAATTAAGTTCGTGAGACACGATTTCCCACACACAAAGCCACATTGACTATCCCCAATCAGTCCTTGCCTTTCCAATTACATGTAAATCCTGTCCCTCAGGATTCCCTCGCACAACTTGCCCACCACCGATGTAAGGCTCACTGGTCTACAGTTCTGTGGCTTTTTCTTACCACCTTTCTTAAATAATGGCATCACGTTAGCCAACCTCCAGTCTTCCAGCACGTCACCTATGTCTATCGATGATATAATTATCTCAGAGCTCTGGGGTACATCTGATCAAGTTCTGGGGATTTATCCATCTTTATGCGTCTTAAGACGTCCAGCATCTTCTCCTCTGTAATATGGACATTTTTCATGATGACACTATTTATCTCCCCACATTCTCTTTCTTCCATATCCTTCTCCACAGTAAACAATGATGCAAAATACTCATTTGGTATCTCCCCTATCTCTTGCGGTTCTACACACAGGTGGCCTTACTGATCTTTAAGGGGCCCTATTTTCTCCTTGGTTACCGTTTTGTCCTTAATGCATTTGTAAAATCCTTTCAGATTCTCCTTAACCCTATTTGCCAAAGCTATCTCATGCCCCCTTTTTGCTGTGACTGCTTTTATATGTTCTAGGGAATCACTCGATCCCTGCTGTCTATACCCGACATATACTTCTTTCTTATTCTTGACCAAAACCTCAATTCCTCTATTCATCCAGCATTCCCTACACCTACTAGCCTTGCCCTTCATCATAACAGGAACATACTGTCTCTGGACAGTTAATGGTAGGACTCTGAGCAGCACTGATATACAGAAGGATCATGGGGTTCAAGTCCATAGCTCCCTGAAAGTTGCCACCCAATTAGATAGGGTGGTAAAGAAGGCATATGGCATGCTTCCCTTTATTGGTCGAGAAACTGAGTACAAGAATCAGGATGTCATGTTGCAGCTTTCTAAGGCTTTGGTTAGGCCTCCCTTAGAATATTGCATTCAGTTCTGGTCGCCATATTACAGAAAGGATGTGGAAGCTTTGGAGAGGGCGCAGAAGAAGTTTATCAGGATGCTGCCTGGATTAGTGCGTATGAGCTGTGAGGAGAGGCTGGAAAAGCTCGTGTTGTTTTCTCCGGAGCAGTGGAGGCTGAGGGGAGACTTGATAGAAGTGTATCAAATTATGAGATATATACATAGGGTTGACGGTCAGAATCTTTCTCCCCAGATTTGAAATGTTTCATACTTGGGGGTATCCATTTAAGGTAAGGGGGCAAGTTAAAAGGAGATGTAAGGGGCAAGTTTTTATTTTACACAGAGAATGATAGGAGTCTGGAACACACTGCCGGGGTGGTGGTGAAGGCAGATACAATAACTGCATTTAAAGGACTTTTAGATAAGCATACAAATATGCAGGGAATGGAGAGATATGGGGCAACTCGGTGGCTCAGTGGGTGGCACTGCTGCCTCAGTACTAGGGACCCAGGTTTAATTCCACCCTCGGGCGACTGTCTGTGCGGAGTTTGCACATTCTCCCCTTGTCTGCGTGGGTTTTCACCAGGTGCTCTGTTTTCCTCCCATCATCCAAATTTATGCAGTTTAGGTGGATTGGCCATGCTAATTTGCCCTTAGTGTCCAGGGATATGTACGTTAGGCGGATTAGCTGTGGAAAATGCAAGGTTACAGGGATAGGGCATGGGGGTGAGTCTCGGGGTCATGCTTCTCAGAGTCGGTGTGGACTTGTTGGGCTGAGTGGCCTGTTTCCATACTGTAGGGATTCTATTAATTTCTATGGTATGGTCCAAGGGCAGGCAGAAGGGATTAGTTTCATTTGTCATCATGTTCAGCACAACATTGTGGGCCGAAGGGTCCGTTCCTGTGCTGTACGGTTCTATGTTCTATGAAATGAGTGAATTATAAAGTACCTTGATAGCCCATCCACTTACTTCCTCTTCATTGTGCAAAGATGAGCGCATTGCCTGGTACCGTCTTTCTAGTTGATAATAGCGATCCTGAAGATCCCCATAACGTAACTGGGTATCACGTAGAGTCTGACAGACTGCTTTTAGCTGGTTAGATAATGTGGTTCTCTCTTCAATGCTCTGGATAATCTGTGCCAACAAAATAGTGAATAAGAGCTGATCAGATCGTACGCCACACAATCTTCAGAATTAAATTCATATTTTATTCATAGGTTATAGAAAGCTTAAAGGAAACATTTTACATGAACTGAACCTCAGAAATATGTTACCTTGCTATTCAGTTTTTGAAGTTCTTGTTCTTTGCGGTGAATCTCTTGTAAGTAACCCTGGGCTTCACTCTGCAGTTGTTTCCTTTCCATTAGCAGAGACTTCACTTGTTCAGTACTATTCTCATTGCTCAGCAAGGATTCAATCTCTAA